TTTCCTGGCGATGTAAAATCACCACTTCTTTGTTGGCGACGGGGGACGGTACCGACTTTGACCCAGTGCTGACGTCACACGTGCTGACGTCACAAAGTGACTACAGCACGGGTCAGATAACTTATGAAGATAACTTATGAATGAGAGATTCGGTCGAAAATTCCGAAGAGAAGAGTCAATTATTTCTTTTTGAACAGTTAAATTTTCATTTTGTAATTTCGTGTGAAGTCAGCTAATACACAGAATCTTTGGATATTAACTAGTAGTAAAGATGAACAATGATGAAAGAACAGAAGTGAAACCGCTGGAACCAATGTTTGAAGCCAACACGTGAACCACCACTGACCCGAACGGTGCAACGTGATCAAGCGTAAAAGCGTGGGCTTTCTTAATGACTGCCTCGTGCTTGGCAGTGCCTTAGGAACGCAATATAGGATACTTTTCCGGAAAGAATGCCAGTCAGTTATAGATAATTCAACGGGATAAGTCGCAGACCCAGCCTGCAAATAGAAAATACGGCTATTATCATATATCATTGCTAAGTGTTTGCTGCATGCAGTTGGTCCTTATGTGCACTGATGATGAATTATACAGTACGATGGTTAGATGTAGAGTCCTTCCTCTCCAGATATATACTATTAGCTTTTCCTGCGAATCCATGCAGCTATATTTTGGATGTCTGAGTAGTAGACAGCTTATGGGCTTGGAAATAAGTGGTGTTGGTTTGGCCCCCCTAGCGTCTTTTCTTGGCACTGAAGGCGTATTTTTGTCGGACTCGGAAAATTTGATAAAGGATAAATCAAGAAAGGATGGACGGATTTCTATGATGCGTGTTTACGGATAACTTGTACTGCAGAAAACAATTCTTTAAGCACACCTTTTAGTATGCGCAAACGTCCCGTTTCTTCGCTCACATATGTCTTTACGCACGCTTTAAGGTGTGCTTTTAAAAATATGTTTTTAACTGTTTCTGTTAATAACTGTTGTTTGGGGCAACATGCCATGCAGTTTAACACATTTCCAACGTCAAGGAAGCTGCGAGAAAACTTCTATTTCTTGCAGCGATAAGTGATATTGTAGATTGATAGGAAAACATAGCTTGATGCATATTTGTAGATTGGAAACCGTATTTCTCGCAAGTGTCCTGCTGGCTAAGTGCAGAACGTGATGCATGCACGTTGCGAGCTTTCTAAAAAGCCCCCCTTGGCCTCAACGTGTTGGCGTTCAGAATGATCACAGTGCACTGAACTTTTGGACTCCCTGTCCATAACCGTAAGAACCAAAGACAAGACTTCTGCACTGAAGATTACTCAAGAAGAATATCAACTCTGTCTTGGCAATCTTGGAGACTATTTCTCCTCCCTTTCAAGTCTGCATTTTCTAGCCGACGATATCTGTAAAGATTTCGCCGAGTTTTGCAAAGTGGTCCGTTAGGATAGGAGATTTGCGGGTAGTTTTAAAAGCTTTTGGCAAACATTTACACCCGTAAATCATATGTAATGATTCCTTTTGAAGTACTGGATATCCATCTTTGTTTAGCAGTTGAAACTTGGCTGAACCAAAATCAGATTTTGATATATCACTCACAAAATACATTACTAGATCTAACATTAGCACACAGTTACATTAACGCACAATAACGATTATCCTTTACTAAATTTGCTGTAATTACTACATGTATATGATTCGAATGTATTATCATATAATCTAGGACCATAATGTCTCTATCTGAAAACAAGGCTAGACAAGAAGCATGGTTTTTAGTGCAATGTTAAACGTTAAAAGTTACAACTGGCCAGGGGAAAATCATGTTTTATTTGTATTTATCTGACATTGAAGGTATGTTTGTCATTCTGTCATAATAATATGATATCATAAACTGATATCAGATGATTCACACCACAGCGTTTCATATATGTTGTAATGCAATATAACTTACAGTGCAGTATATTGCCAATATACTGTACTGCAAAATTATTGGACGCTTGTGCTTTCCTGGTGCGTACAAATCATACATGTACATTATCCACTAACTGGTCATTACACCAAACTGTATACGTACGTAAACTGAATTGTAGATGGTTATCTTCTTTACGTTGACCGCTCCATGAGGTCATTTCAAAGCACTTATGTGTGAAAGCTGCAATTACAGGTTGCAATCTGAAGGATGTTATGCAGGGATAAGTGTTTTCGTCTTATTGAAACCGGGCGTAGTGATGAAGCAGTACTGAAATAGTAATGAAGGGGAACCTTCTAATGATACAAAGCTCGCCATCGAGTGTACTTTCTGCTTTTCTGTCTTCATTTTGTATTGTAATTGCTTCCTACGATAACAAGAAACCATCGAATGTTTCACGCCTCTGTAAAATATTTAGTGTTTGGGGGAGTTTCAGGTTTTATACATTATCATGCATTTTTCGCCGAACCTGTGCATATTGCATGGTTACTTGCTACCAATCTGCGGGGAGGCCATTTAACCTCCGATTTGACCTTCCTGTCAATCTGTGGTTACACCGTATCCCTACTGACTTTTAAAACTATATTTTGTCTAAATAACTACGAACACGCAATAAAACAAACAAACAAAGAAACAGACCGAAAAGAAAACATCCATGTGACAACGTTCAGTTCAGTTCACTACAATGTGGGGAACTAATTTAGCTACTATCTACATGTACATAATATGACCCCGGGGGTCTCGGTAGTTTTCGTTCCTTCGATTTGCCCTTTACGTTCTGCCATCCCAAACTCATTAGTAGGTACTCCCTGCTTTAGGTAATTACAGCAGGGCCTTTCGTCTTAATCACAGCTCGTTTCTTAAAGAATCATGACGCCGTAAGACTGTAATTTGCAGATAAGAAAACGTAAAAGCTGACCTCAGTTCTTTCTTTGACCTTTTCAATGCCAGTTCCATTGCCAAATACATTTCTTTTTACACTTATACGTGCCGTGACATTAAAGAAGGGCTTTCATAGTTATCTCTTTGACATCGCTGTATCAAAAATCAGCTTACATAAACATGAAGATGCAAGGAATGATAGGATGATCGTGATGAAACTTTAAATGTAAAATCAAGCATGAATCGTTGACAGTCTAAATCCTTTCCCACATAGCAGGGTGCACAGATCAGATCTTGACTGTCGAAACGCTGAGCTCTAGATCACCTCCCTGTGGTTGACTAATTATATCTTACACAGATAAGGGAGTTCCAGCAAGTGTTAGATGAATAATAAAGATACAATTCATCACTGTTTTAATGATCAAACTTCAAAGAAACAGATACAAGAAGATTTTCGTCATTGCCACATCTTTAGTCACGCTGACTTATTACCTTTCAGTGAAGTAATTATTTGTAAGCTATCGTTAAGTCAAGTAATTAGTTTCCACTGACATAGTTTACAGCGGATTTCATATACGTCTTCAAACAGTTAATACTGAATTTTATATCCACACTGCCTCATATGAATACATAACTTACTTCATGAAAGTAAAATGCTGCATTCTAAAGGCATCTAGATGACCCTAGGTCGATTGTTTAGCACATATTGTAACCGTATAAAAATGTATGAAGGTTTAACGTCAGGCTTACAGAGGGTGGTGATAATGTATGGGGACGTTGGAAAAGTTTCGGCTTTGCATAGGATAACTATTGGAAACTAATGGAACACCAGCCAACCACAGCCAACCTACTCCTAACCAAAGGATATTTGAGAATAACAGTCTAAAGCCCTAAATTTCTTAAATCACGAATAAAGACCAACCTCGAGGTCGGCTACTGGTCAGCTGAACGTTTCAGAATGGCAAAACATTCCAGTTCGGCCATGATTGGCTGGTGGTTGGCTCGTGTTCGGGAGTCGGTCAGCAGTGTTCGGGGCGCGTTCGGGGGTCAAATTTGACTCAAATGTAACTCAAATTCGACTCGCATACAAAGATAGGCGTGGCCTACATCTGGTCAGACTGCTCTTGAACTTCAGCCAAGTTGTTTGGTTGGAGTTCGGTAGGGGGGTGGGTGTTCTGAATGTAGAGGATGTACAATGTAGGATGGATGTTGTTGAGACGCCCTCTAGCGGACGTCTCGTGAATATGATCTAACAATCAAGTCCTTCCTTTTGGCTGAAACTGCTGGTACCACGTGCGTTTGACTCTAGATAAGTCTAGATAAAGTTCAGGACAAAGTTCAGTAAAAATATGTACTATCTTTCCCAAAGCAGACACTCTGTCATGCTTTCACGGACTATAATCAGAAAACCAATCTGAAAGAAACATACCAGCTTTCTTTCCCGGAGGAAATAATATTGGCTCGTACTTTTGCAGACAAATCATAACTTTTTATGTATCAGACAAATCTTTCCTCAAACGCAGCACACAGAACAGTAGTGTTATCTTAAAATCGTTTGTGTTGGTTGAAATCATTATGAAGTTAAAGTTAGTTTGAACATTTAGTACTTTTCAACACCAGAAATTACAGTAAAGTGGTACTAATAAGAGATATAGCTTATGAGGCCTCTAGGTGGGAGACATGAGAGATCTATATTCTTGGATTACGAAGCAGACACCCTGTCGTACTTTCACGGACTGCAATAAACAAAGCCATCAGGTCCTAACATCGAGAGGTTACGCAACACAGGCTATAGGTAACTCACATGTCAAATCCATGTGTGGTTTTGTTGCATGAACATAAATGACAAAACAATATGACATGTATTCTGACGCTTGTGCCCTTTGCTCCAAATAGAAGATTTCCGACTTGTCGGTCTCACAACAGATTCTTGTTCAATACTATCAACAGGGACATGGAAGTGCAAACGCTGTTTTACTAACATTATACGTAGGTAAATGTTGTCTTTATGCTTAGGACTGTCTTGCCATAGATTATACAAATCAAGAACCAATGTAAATAATGTGCTATCTTGTAATATAATAATGCATTTTTACAATTACTGAGAACCGTAGAGGTTAGATTTTGGGTGCTGGTATTGTGCTAAACAAACAAAGCAAGCATGAAAGTAAGTGTAAGGACTTTGCTGGTTATTTTGGGATTTCTGTGGACAGGGTGTTTATGTTTACCAGATGGATGTGAAGTTAGTAAGTTCAAGTACAGCTCTATGGTATTAGTTGACTGTAACAAACTGGGTCTCGTGACGGTGCCTAGTGATTTACCGGCCAACACTGTACAGTTTAAAATCTCGTACAACAACATCAAAAACGTTACGTACCTGCCGGCACTGAAGAACATGTACAGTCTGGACTTGAGCTTTAATTCTATTGAAAGTATGTCCTGGATGTCTCTGCGGACTTTGCCAGATTTAAGCACTCTTGAACTACAAAAGAACCGACTGAAGTATGTAGAGCTCGACATCGTGATAGCGCACCTCCCGAAACTGAAATTTGTAAATTTAAGTCTGAACAAACTTGCATCATTCTCTCAGTACGCGATGGGATGGCCACAGGTGACCACAATAGTCATCTACAAGAACCCATTTCACTGTGACTGTGACCTGTCCTGGCTGATTATCAAGATGGCGTGTTTAAAAGCCTGTAAGGGAAAAGATAGACAGGCTTGTTGTTCTTCATGTTCAGCCTGTTTTCTTAATATGACCCCGAAAGGACGTTTTAACTGCAAAAGTCCGAGTGATCTGCACGGGCGCCATTTGTCCACTGTGTCCACCCAGCTGACGGGCTGTGGAACGACCCACCAAGCCGAGACCAGACCTACAGAGCACAGAAAATGGCACTTTTCTCATCAATGGTTCGCGAACCAACACCACACAGACGACGTTGTTAATGACGGAAGCAAACATAAAGCATTGCCACAATGACAACAGCTCAGTAGGGATACCGACAAGTGATTCACCGGTAATGACCAATGCATCTACAACTGGTAAAACTTTGCACGGGAAAGAGGAGAATAGTCACAAATACATCGCTATTTTCATTCTTGAAAAGTGTATAAGCGTGGCTTTTATTATCTGCCTTGTACGACTCATGATAAAGAAAAAGTTGTGCTACAATCGCCGAGAAGCCGCAGGCATTGGTGCAGATCGCCCTACCATCCACTCACATCAGATCGTGCCACCGATAGAAAACAATGTGTACAACGAAACTGTTGCAGAAGGTTCGAAACCCAGACAACCTGTCGCACATCAAATTGCATTACCGATTGAGAACACCGTGAACCAGTGCACCTCTACACAAGGCATGGATGATGAAGATTCGGTTCCCCCGGGTGAAAACGAGAGTACACCATCACCAGAAAACTCAGAAAACCACTCTGCTGTAGAGCTGTATCACGAAACTATGGCCGTCTCGGAACAGTGCGTGGAAGTTGACCGTACACAAACTGCAGAGTCTGCCGTGTATACATGTACGGAACCAACAGCAAGCTCTACAAACTACATGTACAACACTTCTGCAGAAGTTGTGAATCACGGACATCATGATGATAATGAGAATAATAAACGAATGGAGTAGGCAGTTGAAAGCACCTGTTTTATCATTTAGTTCGTGGATTTGCTCAAGTTCAATGTTTAGTGGATCGTCTGGCTTCGTTTACTTAGTATGATTTCATTTACTTTTGTTACACATTTTAGTATCTTGGCTCAATTTGTACAAATAGCTACTTGATTTATGTACTAAAGTAAACTTGTACAGTAGATGGCATTTAATGAAATTTTTGTCCACTTCTTTTTAACATCTTGACTTTTGTTCTTTAAGATATCTGATTATAAGTGGAATGGAAAAATAAACAGAAAAAATAAACTTCGCACAGTCGCGGAAATTTTCAGTGTCTTTGTCATTTATGTTGATCAGTTCAATATGGAGAAAATAGTCGAATTGATTTCAAGAAAAGACATAGTATTTAGGTAGGCTTTGAGTAGAAAGAGGGGAAATCTCTGTTTTATCTGTGTCTGTGCCCTGAGGTAGGGTTTCCTTTTTCAATTTAAGCTTTGATATACCAATAGAATGTTATAGTTGACGCAATGTCATACTCTCACGTTTGGTTATCAGAGAACCAATCTACAAACACCTATGTTTTCTCACTTCAAGGCGAATTGGTCTGGGAGTTGAAATGTCAGACATAATTTGTAAAAGAAGAGAAGGGAAATAACTTTTTTCTGGCTTTACTCCATATGCATGTGAATGGACACAATCTATGATAGACATTAAATGCGATAATAAAAAAAAAGTTGTTGAATAAAGTTGATTTTAGAAAAGAGACGTAGTATTTGGATAGGGGTTTAGTAGGAACATTGGGTGCATTTTATCTGACAGTGTGTCTGAGTCCCGAAGCAGTATCACTTTTTCAATTTCAGCTTTCATACCAATAGAATGTCAGTTGACACAATGTCATACTCTCACGTTTGGTTATCAGAGAACCAATCTACAAACACCATGTTTTTCTCACTTCGACACGGATTGGTCTGGGAGTTGAAATGTCAGACACAAATTGTAAAAGAAGAGAAGGGAACTAACTTTTTTCCTGGCTTTACTCTATATGCATGTGAATGGACACAATCTATGACAGACATTAAATGCGATTCTTGTCTAATTCATTATAGCAACTGGACTTTTGCTCTAAGGATATCTGATTAGTAGTAGAATGGAAATAGTAACAGCAAAAAAATACTTTACAGATGTTGCAATTACTAAAGTCTTTGTCTTTTATGTTGATCAGATCAAAATAAAGAAAATGACCGAGTTGATGTTAGAAAAGAGACATAGTATTGGGTAGGATTTTATTAGGAACATTGGGTGAATTTGCCTTTTATCTGACAGTGTGTCTGAGTCCTGAAGCAGTATCACTTCCTCAATTTCAGCTTTCATACCAATAGAATGTCAGTTGACGCAATGTCATACTCTCACGTTATGTTATAAGAAAACCAATCTACAAACATCATGTTTTTCTCACTTCAGAACAAAATGGTCTGGGAGTTTTAAAATGTCAGACAATGTTTCTAGAAGAACAGAGAAAATGGAAATTACTTCTTTGCCTGTGCTTTACTTAATAAACATATACTTTTGTGAATCCGTATGTGTTGTTGTTGTTCATGTTGCCATGACAACAGACGATAGCATATGTATGCATTCTGAAAATCATATATATATATATAGTTTTGTTTCAATAGAAGACATTCGACTTTTAACAACAGTTTCTTGTTGAATCCATGCGATCCATCGGGACAGCGAAGTACAGTTCCTGTTTTACTAACATGATACGTAGGTAAAGGTTGTCTTTTTTGCTTTCACGGAGAGATCACAGCTACCAGGAACTGTTCCAATGCTACAGTTATGATAACATTATAGGGGATTTATTGTAAGTAAATGTGAGCGAATGTTAATGTTTATCAGATTGTAGGCTTCGTTGGCAAACGATAAAGACACGGGTCGTAGTATTCTGCCAAACAAATGAACAAAGACATGGAATCAAGTGTAGTTTCTTTGCTGGTTATTTTGGGATTTCTGTGGACAGGATGCTTTTGTTTACCGGATAAATGTAAAGTAAAGAAGTATGTTTCTAGCTCTAACGTTGACTGTAATAAGCTAGGTCTCGTGACGGTGCCTGTCGACATACCGTCCAACGCTATATGTTTTACAATCGAGCACAACAACATCAGAAACGTTACGTACCTGCCGCAACTGCCGAAACTGATAACACTGGACCTTCGCTATAATTCCATTGAAACTGTATCCTGGATGTCTCTGCGGACTTTGCCAGCTTTAAACATACTTTTACTACAAGGGAACCAACTGAGGTACGTAAAGATCGACGTCGTGATGGCGCATCTCCCGAAGCTGATTTATATAAATCTAAGTATGAACAAACTTGTATCATTCTCTCAATACGCACTGGCATGGCCACCGTTGTTCACAATAGCAATTTCCAACAACCCATTTCACTGTGACTGTAACCTGTCCTGGCTGATTATCAAGATGGCGTGTTTGGAAGCCTGTAAGGGGAGCCAACCAAAGGACTGTTGTTCTTCATGTTCAGCCTGTTTTCTCGAATGTCTCCCAACGGATGTTTAACTGCTCAAGTCCGAGTCAGCTGCGAGGGCGCCATTTGTCCCACTGTGTCCGCCGAGCTGACGCACTGTGGAACGCCCACATCCAAGGTTCGGAGACCTGTGCCACACAGACGCACTGGTTGTTCATGACGAAAGCAAACATAAAGCATTTCTACGAGAACGACAGCTCAGTAACGATACCAAAGAGTGATTCACCGGTAACGACTAGTGCTTCTACAACTGGTAAAAACTTTGCACGGGAAAGAGGAAAATAGTCACAAATACATCACTATTTTTGTGATTGTAACGTGCCTGCAGCTGGCCGTGGCCTTTCTCGCCTGCTCTGTACTGATCACGATAAAGAAAAGGCTGTGCTGCAAGTTCTACAATCGCCGAGAAGCTGCGGGCATTGGTGCAGATCGCCCTGCCATCCAATCACATCAGATCGTGCCACCGATAGAAAACAATGTGTGCAACGAAACTGTTGCAGAAGGTTCGAACCCCAGACCGCCAGTTGCACATCAAATTGCATTACCGATTGAGAACACCGTGAACCAGTGCACCTCTACAAAAGGCATGGATGACGAAGATTCGGTTCCCCCGGGTGAAAACCAGAGTACACCATCACCAGAAACCAACACCATCACTATGACCGTCTCGGAACAGTGTGTGGAAGTTGACCGTACACAAACTGCAGCATCTACCCTATATACATGTACGGCACCAACAGCAAGCTCTACAAACTACATGTACAACACTTCTGCAGAAGTTGTGAATCACGAACATCATGATGATAATGAGAATAATAAGAAATTGGAGTAGGCAGTTGAAAGCACCTGTTTTATCATTCAGTTCGTGGATTTGCTCAAGTTCAATGTTTAGTTGATTGTCTGGCTTCGTTTACTTCGTATGATTTCGTGGGTGTCACCACAGGAGCCATTGCGTTTCTGAAGTGAAACTGCCAGTAAGGTTTTCCTGATGAATTAAAACATATCATCAATATTTACATGCATGAACCAAATTTTTTAGACTTTCTAAAACATTATCATCCCGTTATTTCACTCCTTCTTGACCTTACCTAAAATACACAAAAGAATGTACTCGGTATATTTGTAAGAAAACATATTTGTTCAAATGAATACACTAAGTGAAAACTCATTCATCGCAGCTAAGTTTTCAGTTCAAACGTGACTGCAAATACACAAAAGAGTTCCAGTCAAAAATGAATATTCTACAGCGTTGAGGGGTTTGGAAGCAGACGCGCTGTCATACTTTCACGTACTGTAATCAACAAACCCGTCAGCCCCTCACGTCGGGTGATTACGTCTACCTGGCGCACATGTCTAGCCCGTATGTCGTTTCGTTACGTATGCATGGATGCCACGTTGTCATTGTCTTTGCTTCAAATAGAAGACAGTCAAATCAACGGTCTCATCACAGCTTCTTCTCCAGCGCGATCCACCGGGACAGGAAAGTACATTTGCTGTTTCACTGAAATAATACCCAGCAAAAACATTGTATTTCTGTTTAGTACTGTCTTAATATTAAGTACATAAATCAGGAAGCCACAAGGTGTGCTGTCCTAATGCTAAAATTATAATAATATTTAATGTATATCATCAGCATGTAGGCTTTGTTTTCAAACGCTGAAGACCGTAGGGGCGAAACGCTTTGAAATTCAAAGTCTGCCAAAGAAAACAAAACCATGATAGTAAGTACACGGTCTTTTCTCGTTACGTTGGGACTTCTGTGTACAGGATGTTTTTGTCTACCAGATAAATGTGAAGTTAGAAATAGGAAGTCACGTTACAGTTCTACGGTGTGGGTTTACTGTGATAGCCTAGGTCTCGTGGTGGTGCCTGATGATATACCCTCCAACTCTGGTTGGTTTGATATCGCGTTCAACAACATCAGAAACGTTACGTATCTGCCGCCACTGTCTCAGCTGTACATACTGGACCTGAGCTATAATTCCATTGAAACTGTATCCTGGATGTCTCTGCGGACTTTGCCAGCGTTGACCACTCTTTTTCTACAAGGAAACCAACTTACGTACGTAGAGCTTGACATCGTCGTTGCCCACCTCCCGAAACTGAAATTTGTAAATCTAAGTTTGAACAAACTTGCGTCATTCTCTCAGTACGCGATGGGATGGCCACAGGTGACCACAATAGCCATCTACATGAACCCCTTTCACTGTGACTGTGACCTGTCCTGGCTGATTATGAAGATGGCGTGTTTACAAGCCTGTAAGGGAATGAATGGACAGGCTTGTTGTTCTTCGTGTTCAGCCTGTTTTATTCTTTTAAGTTCACACGCACGTTTTAACTGCTCAAGTCCAAGTCAACTCCATGGGCGCCATTTGTCCACTGTGTCCGCCGAGCTGACAGACTGTGGAACGACCCACCAAGCCGAGACCAAACTACAGAGCACACAAAACGGCACTTTTTTCATCATTGGAGAAAG